AGCGTTACACATCATTGAACATGCTGGTAAACAATAACCCTAATTTCAATTCATGTAATGCGAAAAAAAATACGATAAATGAAATGTGTATAAATTTCTTTTGGGATTAGTTAATTTTGAACATAATCTGATACTTCCATTCTGGTGATTTACAGATGTACACTCGGACATTAATTTTATAAATAAAACACTTGAAACTGAGTTTTATAGAACTAGAGAAATTAACGATAATTAAATTGACATGTCAGTAAAAATAATCATGACTGAAAAATAATACTTGGCAAAATAAACGAAGAATTTTTTAAAAGCCCCAATACTGAAGAAAATTCCTGTAGAGTAGTTTTAGAGTAGATATATTTAAAGCTTATACTGGTGGAAAATAATTAATTCACGTTTAATTTTCTGTATAAAAAATAAATTTGGGAACCAGTATCAATCACAGAAGAAATATAATTAATATATCCGATAATTGTGATTAAATAGTCATGTTCATTGTAATTCGTATATGTACATGTAGGTGTGAAAGACTTCTTCAACCAATAAATATTATAATTTCAATTTCAATGCGCGTACTGTTCATATATGACCTTAGCGTACATGTAAGATATCCTGGCATACTACCCAGAATCAATTTCTACTGCCTTTTATAGTTCCATTGTTTATGAGAAATCTCATTTCTGAGTTAGCTCCGCCCATTAGATTAATAAACCCCGCCCACTGGGACTGCTGTGGGACTGCTTTAGCAGTCCCAGAAAGCAGTCCCTGGGACAGGTTGGGTCTGGTCGGTACTGTACGTACACATTATATAAAATGTCATTAACAGTAGAATAAAAACGAAAACAAACCGAGAATTTCTTCTGATTCTGACCATGAGCCCAAGTTTTTGTGAATGTCCGTTCGATCGTCGGAATTCTTGATAATGTTTAACGTCCCTCTCGAGAATTTTTAATTCAAGTGGAGAAGCCATCACTTGCCGCAATTTTTGACCTATACTCGTGGCCATTGAGCAGGGAGGGATCTTTTCCTGCCAGCACTTAATGCGACACGGAACCTCGGTGTATACGGTCTCATACGAAGGACCGGTCTCCACGTCCCTCAGTGGGATTGGAACCCGCGAAGTAAGGGTCAACTCCCTACTTCGCGACTCTATAGAGCAGACACTTTATTATGTTCTCATTCGTTTCCACTAAAAAGAAACTTAAATAATATATAAAATAAATTACAAAACGTACATAGGTTGGTACAGAAGCGCTCTCGTAAGTGCATTTTTGGGGAAACGTCTGTCTGTTTTGAGAAAGAGCCTTCGAATGGCATTTACCTTCTACATATGCTAAAGCATGCGTGCTTTAACAGAATACCTGTAGAACAGGTATTCTGTAAATACTATAACCAATCAGACCGACACCTATAAACTAGATAAACGCGTGTACGATGGATACACGTCTTGTGATAACTTCAATAACACCCCTACTAATGTGTTCGGAACTTTTTCATTTTTCGGTGTTCTGCAAATTGTAAAACCCGAGGTGTTCAAAGTAGCTTTGGCAGTAGCTCTGGCGAGAATCAGCGAGATAGGGTAAAGAATGACTGCACTTAAGCTATGACAGTTAGATCCCGATGTTTTGCGCAAAATAAAATTCCAAAATTCATTAAATTTATGTTTTATAGTTATTAAACAATATCTAAAGAGCAGGTTTTGGTATATTATATTACATGAAAGTATTAAATAATGCCGAGCGAAACTAGCTTTTGAGACGGGGGTCTAACAGTTTTGTCTCATTTCTATTGTTATTCATATGCATACCAGTTTTCAACGACTTTGTTTACATCGAGTCGCAACTTAGCCATTTTTCTTATTTGCACAGAATGTGTATTTTAACTTAAACTTATACATATTCAAAGGACAATGTCGGCCAAGTTGCGGCTCATATCTAATTTAAAAAAAAATTTATCCCAAACTGGGATCGAGATGGTTACTAAATGTGGTAGTGTTAGATACACGGCATCCTACTAGCTTGGGCTAGTGGGTTAACCCTTTAGCTCAATCGGTAGAGCACTTGACTGGCAAGCCAGAGGTCCCGGGTTCGATCCTCAGCAGAGGCACAAAATTGTCTCTGTTACATAAATTAACCGGTCACCGAGCATCAACGATTGATATTTTAATCACCTTTCTCACGTGACCTTCTGCTGTTCGATACGCTAACGCTTCCATTGAAAATTTCATTGTATTTAAGTCTCCGTTGTGACAGTATCTATCGTACTTCCCACTTCAAACTATGGGAGATTTTTGCGCAAATTTGAATAGGGTTTGAAGATAATATGTCTCTCGTTTCATTAGGGGTGTTTTGAAAGAATTCTGGTATTGACAGTGTCATTAGTAAGTACATGTATAGGCTTATGTCGATCGCCTCTGTATTATGGTCTGCATGCAGAGCGAGACATGTACCGCATCCCTTAACATTAGAATCATTTAATAATTGTGCACCCTAAAATCAACACGATCTCTCTCTCTCTCTCTCTCTTCTCCATTTCAATTCGTAGAGCGAAAAAATCATATGTGCTAAAGTTTACATTCCACAACCATGCGGTTTAAATGTCTCCGCCTATTTGCGGATACCTTAGATTCGAAAGTAGTCCCGTTCAAGTTTCCGGAATTTAAGGCTTTTACATGTTCTTTTCAATTACGTTTTCTGTAATTACAGAAATATGTATGACAAAAAATTCTAGAAATAAATATCAAAAGCATATGCTTGCACATTAATCATAGATTAATTTAGCGATATATTGTAATGTTAAGCTTAAAATGGGTGGCCGAAAAGGTTCCAAATGACGTACTTAAGTGCACTCATTCTTATTCACGGAAATGTGGCTAGGAAGTGACTAGCACGTGGAGACATGGTAAACAGAGAAGTTATGTTGTTTTTCAATTTTTACCACCCTATAATATCTGAAGAAATGTACTTCAATTTCATTTGAATTCAAACAATTTTAATTAAGTATACCTATTGTCTATGATATTATTTCTCTGCATTCATACATTAAAATTTCTTTTTGGACAAATATACATGTATTTGGAACTAGGACTATATTTTTTTTACGTCAGCTTAGCAAATGAGGCACAAACACACAAATCAGATGAATGAGAATTGCATTATGGGTTACTACGGGTTCTCAGGTACTACAGGAATTTTACACCTGGAAAAACAAAATCAAAACAATTATAATTGCGATGGGAAAGGCACAAAGAACATTTTCCACCCATTTCGTAAAGCAATTTCATTTGTTTTTTTTCCTATTATTTCCATGTTAACAATGACAAGCAATTCATTTATTGAATAATCGTAAAATTCTAGGTTTTCCTAAGTCATACTACAAAGCTATTTGAGTCTGTATTGATTCCTTTGTTGTACTATCGGTGAATACAATTGTTAGGTGATTCCCTGGCAAAAAACATATGTAATCACGGGTATTGTCCATTTAAATGCTCAGATCGAGATGCTGCTCGGTTTCTTTAGCCTTGAAGCTCTGGTGTTCTTAACTTGACACAAACTACATTTTATGATACATATTTTCTAGTTAACAACAAATTAAAAACGCCGATGACATCTTTTATAGTTTCTAATCTTTGTTCTTTTTCATATGAACATTTTTTGCAGCCCATTTAATATCGATCATTGATTGACCTGAACCACGTGTTCGAAGTAAAATAAAAACATGTTCATGTATAGTTAGCGTAAACATTGCTATTCATTCAACGATTGGTCAGTTGGTGTGTGGTAAGATGTTCCGTGCGCATTGATAACAATATCCATATAAGGCATACAAAGGTTTGTCAGTGTAAATGATATTGTAAACACATTTTTTTCTACCATGGTATCGGGCTATTTTGGGGAAATTTTCTCTAGAGAGCTCCAATTTTGGCAGTAAATTATCACAAAAGCAAAGATAATGTATATTGTTTTGACCCCCTCCTTTATCTATACCGAAACATGAAAGTCCTTCAGAAAGATCTGGATACACATTTTTTACAGGACATGTTTTCAAAAGAAACAGATCTGCAGACTATACATTTTCCGGTTTATTGCCAGTTCTATTTATAAAACCGGTTCTACCCTGTAACCTTTGAATTGGTCAACATAAACTACGTGGCTTGAATTTAAATCACATTTACATTAGGAGGGGTGAATAAATAACCTTTTAAGTGGTCAACCTAAACCACGTGGCTTGAATTTAAATCACAATAACATTAGGAGGGGTGAATAAATACATACCACCGCGGCACGCGGGCGACTCGTCGGAATCGTGTTGAGATGTTTGAAGACATTAAAAAGGGTAGAGTGGATTCATAAACATCCGTATTGTCCTAAATCAATGCTTTCTTCCGCAAGCATATTTATCACAGCGAGTATATTCAAAGATTGAGAAACTGGACAAAAAAAAACGTACGTCAAACCCCTCCGCACCGTTTCAGAAGCATTACATCGCGTTCAAAACATAGCATAAACAATGATTCTCCCACTGAATTTAAATGTACGCATATATGTATAAATCACCTAAGGATTACATTATTGTGTATATACTGATACATGTAACATGATAATGACCTTAGGTTTAAATGTTTTAAAATGAACGGCAAAGAAATTTTAGTAGATTATTCGATTTTCTTTCTATTCTTTCCTATTTAGTACGGCCGATATAGAACTTAGGTCTACCAAATATTACATTTATAAACATTTACTTAAAAACTTGTAAATAAATCTTTACAGATTATTTCAACAAAATACTATTTAATTTGCAATGCTAAAAAATGAATTACTCTATATCTTTACCGTACGTAATCTTTCGAATTCATACAACATGAAAGTATGTAAGAAACAATGTAATAGGATTGACGAATCAAAAAAAAAAATACTTGAAAAGAATTGCCAAAAGTACTTTGTCATTCGGAATAACACAGCAACATCCTTAATGTTATTTTTTTCTTTTTCAGATTTTGGAACATGAAAATTACAATTCTAAAGTTTATCCTGTTGATATTTTTTGGGTTAGCAGTCATCTTGCTTGGATTTATTTTTCAAGGAAAATATCTGGAGAAACGTATAAACATTCAACAAAATTGCCGCTTTAAAAATAAAACAGAGTGGAGAATATTGTGGTACAACATCCCATCCTATTTAATGGATGAGTTTAATTATTCAAAACTTCAAACACATGAAAAACATCGATACTTTATCTTGACAAAGGATAACAATGATTTATCAAGAAGTGATGTTGTGATATTTACACACAGTACTATGGGAAAGATTCCACCCCCTAAATTTAAGTGTCAAATCTGGGTTTTCAACTCAATGGAAACGCCTACCTTCATGATTAACGACTACCAGAAATGGAATACTAGTCTAGATTGGTTGATGTCATATCGCAGAGATTCAGACATATATCGACCTTATGGATCACTTAAGAAACGGTCCTCCCTTTTGGTGAAGAATTATACGGAGGTATTTCAGAAGAAGAAATATTTTGGCGTGTGGATGTCAGGGCATTGTCCAGTACCGTCTCGTCGTAAAAATTACATACTTGATTTAAAGAAATATATACAGGTCGATATGTTCGGTTCCTGTGGCAGTGCTGTTTGTCTTAGTCGAACTCCATATCTAAACGAATGCTTGCGAAATTTTTCTCGTGATTATAAATTTTATTTTGCTTTTGAAAATAACATTTGTAAAGACTATACGACAGAAAAATTATTTAATGTATTTTTGGGAAATTTAGATCTTATACCTGTAATTAATGGGCCAAAAAATGTAGCTGAATATATACCAAACGGAACGTTTATCAGCACTCTTGATTTCTCTTCACCTAAAGCTCTTGCAAATAAACTGAAAAAAATTGGCTCAAATGAAACTCTTTTTATCCAGTATCTAAAAGAAAAGGATAAGTATATAGACATTGGTGCAAAGGAAATATTTCTTCAGTCTATGTTGCAGATATTTGACAAAATTATTCGAACAGAGGGAAATACTGTGCGACAAAATGAAAGCATAAACATAAATTCTTTTCGAATTAAGAAGGCTGTTACATGTTAGTGTTAGAGTATGACCTTCTTTTCTATATAATAGCCCTTTAACTGCCTAGAACCCTTTCACAGAATAGCAGATTATAGTGTCAGTAGAAATAAGTCCGAAATATACCTTGCTTATTTGTTTTTTCCAGTGATAGTACATTCGCATTAAATTTTGAACTACATTTTTCAACGAAAATATTTGCCTCATTATGAAGAAGCGAGGGCATTTTGCTTTGCTGCTGTCTGTCGCGGTCCATCAAGTTTCTTTTCATATTCTTTGCAGTGGTTGCACATATTGAAACTTAATCAGAATATCTAAACCAAGTTCTACGATCAAACAATTTTAACAGAGTTGTGCCCCTTGAACTTAGAAAAAAATCCATTCATTTGCAGTTTCCGTTTATCTTTGCAGAGGTTGAACAAACCGGAGTAAACTTTGCCATATATATTAATCATAAAAATATCTAGGTCAGGTCTTCCTTCCGGTACGATCGAGCAATTCTTAACAAATATGCCCCTTGGAATTGTATGTCCAGGAGGTGGGGGAATAAGTGTTTCACAAACATCTCTTGTAGAAATTTTTAGCCCCACCCTATCCCCGGGGGTACGTTCTGATCAAAATTTGTCCGTTGTCTGTCGTTGTTGTTAACTTTTCACATTTTCATCTTCTTCTCAAGAACCACTGGCCCATTTCAACCAAACTTGCCACTAAGTATCCTTAGGTATAGGGGATTCAAGTTGTTCAAATGAAGGGCCACGCCCTTTTCCAAGGGGAGATGAAATAGAGAAAAATTAATGTCATTTTTTAAAAAATCTTCTTATCAAGAACCCACAGGGGCAGGAAAGATGAAACTCATGTGGAATCATCCTCAGATAGTGTAAATTCAAGTTTTTTCAAATCATGACCCCCGGGGGTAGGGTGGGGCCAAAATGGCCGATCAAAGTTTTACATAGGAATATATAGGAAACCTCTTTAAAAATCTTCTTCTCAAGAACCACTGGGCCAGGAAAGATGAAACTCATGTGGCATTATCCTCAGGTAGTGTAGATTCAAGTTCGTTCAAATCATGACCCCGGGGGGTAGGGTGGGGCCAAAATGGCCGACCAAAGTTTTTCATAGGAAATATAGGGAAACCTTTTAAAATCTTCTTTTCAAGTACTTCAAAGCCATGATTAGTAATATTTATATGGAATTATCCTCAGGTAGTGTAGATTTCAAGTTCGTCCAAATCATGATCCCCTGGGGAGGTCAAAATTCAAGCCCCTCCCCCCCCTCCTACCTTATAAAACTTTCAGTTCTGATCTGATATGTGCTTTTTCCTAGCTGATGTGCTCAGGTAAGCGCTGTGGCCTATGGGCCTCTTGTATTTTTGGTCATGCTGGTTATATAAAAAGCCAACAACATTGTATATTCTTCATTGTAAGTGTCGGATCTATAACCTAAAGTAGATACAAGGTCATGGATGGGATTTTACAAAAAGCACTGTAAATAACTACTTATTTTATTTAATGTTAAGTAGTTAAGTAGTAGGCTAGGTGTTTTTTGTTTCCTTTATTTTAATGACTTTTTAACTTTTTTCTTTGTCCTGAGGTAGGGACAGGTCGTCCCGAAAATTTTTATTGTTCGTTTTGCTGGATTTAATGCATTATTGTTTATTACTAGTTCAATAAATGATTGAACTCCATTGTGTTATTAAAAATTTATTCGAGAGGTTACGAAAAAACAGGCTGTGAATAGCCAGAATTGTCTTCTCCCATTACAGGAAAATTTGTGGATAGAAAAAAGTGCAATTGATTCTGTAAATTTTCGGCTGATTCGGAGAGTAAAATTACCTCATCTGCAAAGAAAACAAGCATTCTGAGAGTATTGCATAAGCATTACAATTCCCCTACCGGATTCCTTTTTTTATTTAAGATATCATTTTGTAATATGCAAAAGTTATGACCTGGGTAAAACTGCTTGATGTTAAAGTTTTTCAAAAATTTGGTTGTGCATGCCGTTTACCTAATAACATTATCCACATTAATTACAACGAAAACGCATGTAGGAAACAGGCAACAACCAAAACTGGGGATTTGAGGTATAAGATCGAATACCCAAAGGCAATGAATGGGGAATACACAGTAAAGAAAGTAAAGACATGGATAATATTTGGTAACTATTTTATTTTATTTTACAATTGTATTTCCAGTGAGAATACCCCTACCTTTGGTACCAATATTATTAGCTCTACTGGTCAGAGACCAGAAGAGCTTATGCGATAGTAATGCGTCCGTCGGTCTGTCTGTCTGTAAACAATTTTTCAAAATGCTACTCCTCCTACAGTTTTGGTCCGATTTCAGTGTAACTTGGCACACAAATTGACTACACTAAGATACATAATTCTGTGCATCGGTTTTTGATTTCGATGAACGGTGTTGCCGTGGTTACTAAAAATAGAAATTTCTGTGAAATTCTTTCAAAATGCTACTCCTCCTACAGTTTTGGTCCGATTTCAATACAACTTAGCACACAAGTTGACTACACTAAGATACATAATTCTGTGCATCGGTTTTTGATTTCGATGAACGGTGTTGCCGTGGTTACTAAAAATAGAAATTTCTGTGAAATTCTTTCAAAATGCTACTCCTCCTACAGATTTGGTCCGATTTCAATATAACTTGACACACAAGTAGACTACACTAAGATACATAATTCCGTGCATCGGTTTTTGATTTCGATAAACGGTGTTGCCGTGGTTACTAAAAATAGAAATTTCTGTGAAATTCTTTCAAAATGCTACTCCTCCTACAGTTTTGGTCCGATTTCAACAAGTAGACTACACTAAGATACATAATTCTGTGCATCGGTTTTTGATTTCGATGAACGGTGTTGCCGTGGTTACTAAAAATAGAAATTTCTTTGAAATTCTTTCAAAATGCTACTCCTTCTACAGTTTTGGCCCGATTTCAATATAACTTGGCACACAAGTAGACTACACTAAGATACATAATTCTGTGCATCGGTTTTTGATTTCGATAAACGGTGTTGTCGTGGTTACTAAAAATAGAAATTCCTGTAAAATTCTTTCAAAATGCTACTCCTCCTACAGTTTTGCTCTGATTTTGATATAACTTGGCAAACAAGTAGACTACACTAAGATACATAATTCTCTATATCGGTTTTTGATTACAATGAACGGTGTTGCCGTGGTTACTAACAATAGAAATTTCTATCAAAATGCTACCCCTCCTGCAGTTTTGGTCCGATTTCAGTATAACTTAGCACACAAGTAGACTATACTAAGATACATAATTCTGTTTTTATTTTGATGAGTGGCAAGGATCATTTTTCTCTTTATTGCTGATTTAATGTCTCAAGTCCCAACTGCTACTTTCCTCTTCCTTTGTTTTAAGTATAAATCAGTAGAGCTACAGTCTCGACAGAGACTTCTGGTTAAAATATGCATTTAAGAAAATTTTAATCCTTGCTATGTTGCCATAAGGGAACATCAGTGTTTCCCAAACACATCGTGTTCTATTTATAGACATCACATGATGGTCATGTGGCGGAGTGCTTCCTGTAGTGTATGCCCCATTGAAGTCTATAGAACGGATAATGATAGCAAAAGTTTTATCCATGACTTTTCCGATTTATCACTGTAACATATTACAAAAAAGTGTAAATTCGCCTAATTTTTATATGTATGCTGCCTTAACATACCTGCGTGATGAAACAATACAAATACAACACACCTCACAACACTTCGTTTATCTATATATATATATATATATATATATATATATATATATATATATATATATATATATATATGTTCAATGATCTCATACTGGGCAAAAAAAAAATCGTGTCCTCAAAATAAAAGTGTAAATATTTTACTAGTATTCATTTATACGTTAAATCTTTATTAACATTTGTATTCAGAAAATTTATAGCATGTGCACTTGACTTATTTAATAAGGCGTCAATATCCATTATGAATGGATGAATGGTATTTGTTTAACAAATATTACCAGTTCAATTCATTCAAAATTGGTTCAGTGACATAATTCCTCTAAAGGACAGAATTACAGAATATTTAAACAAAATTTTTGATTTAAAAACTTTTTAAATTATCCCCTAAGAAAAAAAATAGTGTTAAAATTTCGCACCACAAATCATCATTTACCCATAGAAACTGGAAGGTGGTATGGTATACCATTTTCTGAAAGACTTTGTGCACTTTGTAATAATAGTTTAATTGCTGATGAATTTCATAGTATCATAACCGCCCGTTTTAAGTGTCTATTACTTTGGCGGTGAATAGAAATTAGCTCAACACTTGCAATATTTTCCACATTTATTCAAGTTAATAAAACATATAACAGCATTCTGGGGAATAGGCTACTCTTCACCCCGTACAATATGAATATGGGGAAACTCGCTATATATGTTAGGTAAACGGACAGACAGACGGACCTTATGACAATAAGGTAAACATAACGGTTTAGACGGACACTTCTTAATCTATATATATCTTTTTTCCGTATCAAGAAGAAGAACAAACAAGCCAAAAATACAAAATATATAGGAATGTGCAAAATATACATTTCGCACGGATTCTGGAGAGGGACGTTAAACAGTATACAATCAATCAATCAATCAATCATTTCGCACGGTCATAATACCCTCTTACTCCCAAAGGATTCTCCGAACCCGTAAAAAAAGAAAGTAGCAAGTAAAAATGTAAAGAAAAATTAGCTGCTGTCATGAGACAGTTATATTCTCACTTAGCTGTTTGCCTCTAAATACATATTCCTACATACTGGGCTTTCCCAGGAAAAAGTCTATTCTATAACTTACACAGTATATTTATTCGTCAAATTGAGTATAAAATTTTCAGACCCTTTGACTATGTGACCTATGACTCAGAGCCTCCTATATGTATTCTATATGCTTAACTCATTACCAGTCTGAAAAAACAGAAATAATTTAATGATGTAAATTAGATTTTGATAAATGTTTTGCTCATAATTGGAACTTTCTAAATTTTCTTTTACTAATGCCCCCCCCCCCCCTCCCGACACCACACACACACACCCTCACGACACGTACGTTTTGTTTGTTTGTTTTTTTAAATAGGCTAGATAGAAAAATTATGTTAAAACATAGTTTGTTATGAATTAAGGACATTAGCAACGTTTCTGGCTTTCGTATAGAATTTTTCAAGTTTTCTTGAACAGGTTTAAT